GCTTAACCTCAGGCGAGATAAAGGCGGAGATTAGCCTTATGCAAATGTGGAGGTAGAGCTTAACCTCATGTAGGATGCGGGACAGGGCTTAGTCCCATGCAAATGAAGGCAGAGATTAGCCTTATGCAGATGCGCAGGTAGAGCTTAACCTCATGCAGGATGCGGGACAGGGCTTAGTCTCATGCAAATGAAGGCAGAGATTAGCCTTATGCAAGGGATTGCATAGATTAGCCTTATGCAGATGTGGAGGTGGAGCTTAACCTCATGCAGGATGCGGGGCAGGGCTTAGTCTTATGCAAATGAAGGCAGAGATTAGCCTTATTCAAGGGAAGGTAGAGATTAGCCTTATACAAATGTGGAGGTAGAGCTTAACCACACGCAGGATGTGGGACATGGCTTAGTCCCATGCAAATGAAGGTAGAAATTAGCCTTATACAGATATGGAGGCAGGGCTTGGCCTTATGCAAGGAAAGGCAGCGTTTAGCCTTGTGCAAAAATAGAATAAATAGCAGATAGTAGCAGAAGTTCTTAGCCGGTAGCAGTTTTCAGTAGCACAATTGTTACGAAGAATGTGACTTCAAGGCATGTATATTCTCATTCCTGCATCCAACGAAAAATTGTGAGTTCTGTAGATGGGGAAGGTTGATTCGTGTCCCCGCTGGCTTTGCTTATCTTGACTTACTTGGCCTGAAGATCCTATTCAAATCATCCGGGGGTAGCATTTGGTAAACAGAGTTATTTTACAAGCAAGTATGCATAGCTTTTCAAGGACATAGTAAAAGATATTTTTTGAAATTTATATGAACCAACGGCTATGACAAGATCCATGACATTGCAACCTCCCATGCTATGGAATTTTGAGGGTCCTCCTCAAAATTCTACCCTATTAGATGGATTGGCATCTCTGACTGCTGTACATGGTGTGATCGGCTGAACTTGCTTCGGAATTTGAGGGTCCTCCTCAAAATTCTGCCCCAGTTTCTGATTATAGGGGAAAATAGATTTTTATTGAATTACGACCGAACCCACAGGGCTGCCTACATATCCCCTCTTAAACGGGAATCAAGTCGAGCGTAGTTCAATTTACATCATATGAGGAAAGCATAAAGAGTTACACATAGTATCGCTTGTTTGCATATGAGTTGATCGGTTTTGGCCAGACTTCTCCGTCCATTTCTGCAAGTATAAGAGCTCCTCTTGTCAGTACTCTTTGAACCATGTAATTACCTTGCCAGTTGGGAGAGAATTTCCCTTTGGCTTCATCTTGATGTGGAAAGATCTTCTTCAACACCAGCTGCCCCGTTGTGAACTGTCATGGCTTGACCCTTTTATTGAAGGCTCTGGACATTCTGTTCTGATAGAGCTGCCCGTGACATACTGCATTCATCCTTTTACCGTCTATGAGAACTAGTTTCTCATAATGGCTCCTCATCCACTCTGAATCGCTGAGCTTAGATTCTTGTATGATTCTCAAGGAAGGAATCTCTACCTCGGCAGGAATAACAACTTCTGTGCCATAAACCAGCAAGTAGAGAGTTGCCCCGGTTGATGTGCGAACTGTGGTGCAGTATCCCAATAAGACAAATAACAGTTTCTCATGCCACTGTTTGTGATTTTCTACCATCTTTATTAGTATCTTCTTTATATTCTTGTTGGCGGCTTCTACGGCTCCATTCATCTGAGGTCTACAGGCTGTGGAATTCTTGTACTTGATTTTGAAACTCTTGCACATGGCCTTCATCAGATCACTATTCAGTGATGATTGATTCTGGAACCCCGAATCGACAAATAATCCGGTCGCGGACAAAATATGCCATGACTTTCTTAGTCACTGCTTTGTAAGATGCTGCTTCAACCCATTTGGTGAAGTAATCAATAGCTACCAAGATGAATCGATGTCCATTTGAGGCTGTGGGCTCGATTGGACCAATGACATCCATTCCCCAAGTAGCAAATGGCCAAGGTGAGCTAGTTGCATTAAGCTCATTTGGCGGTACTTTTATCATATCTGCGTGTACCTGACATTGGTAGCATTTCCAAACATACTGGATGCAGTCAGTCTCCATGATCATCTAGAAATAACCAGCTCTAACTATCTTTTTGGCCAAGACAAAACCATTCATATACAGGCCACAGGTCCCAACATGTATCTCTTCGAGTAGTTTAGAAGCTTCATTTGCGTCGACACACCCCAGTAATCCCAAATCACGAGTTCTTTTGTATAGGGTTCCTCCGCTGTGGAAGAAACTGTTGGACAACCTCCGAAGTGTACGTTTGTGGGTATGATTTTCATGCCCTGGGTACTCTCACTTTGCCAAGTATTCCTTCATGTCGTGGAACCAAGGTTTCCCTTCTGTTTCTTCTTGAACACGGGCATAATACGCCGGCTGGCTATGAATCTTTACCAGGATAGGATCAATGAAGTTCTTATCTAGATGTTGTATCATGGATGACAAGGTGGCTAATGCATCGACAAATTCGTTTTGAATTCTGGGAACGTGCCGAAATTCTATCTTTGTGAACCATTTTCTCAATTCCTGCACATAGTCCAGATATAATATCTTGGAATTCTTAGTGGCCCATTCTCCTTGTACTTGGTGTATAAGCATATCTGAATCGTCGATTACTAGCAGCTCCTGAATATTCATGACGATAGCCATGTTGAGCCCTAGTATGCAAGCTTCATACTCTGCCATGTTGTTGGTGTAGGAAATCTGAGTTTAGTAGATACCGGATAATGTTGATTGGTTTCCGATACTAAGACAGCTCCAACGCCGGCTCCTTTGAAATTTGCTGCTCCGTTAAAGAACATCCTCCAGCCGTCATAGGATTTAGCAATGTATTCTCCTATGAACAACACTTCTTCTTTGGTAAAATACGTTTTGAAGGGTTCGTATTCTCTTCCCACAGGATTATCGGCAAGATGATCTTCCAAGGCTTGTACTTTAACCGCTTTCAGAGTCACACAGACGATGTCGAACTCACCCAGCAGGATTTGCCACTTAGCCAGATTGTGAATGATATACTTCAAGGGATCCATCCTTGATATGAGGTATGTTGTGTAGGTACAGAAGTAGTGTCTCAGCTTCTGAGCTACCCAGGTTAGAACGCAACAAGTACGTTCTAGCAGAGAGTATCGTGCCTCATATGGAGTGAACTTGTTACTCAGATAATAGATAGCCTGCTCTTTTCTCCCTGTCTCGTCATGCTGCCCCAGAATGCAGCCGAAAGATCCATCTAATACTGCAAGGTAGAGTAACAAGGGTCTACCTGGCTCTGGCGGAACCAAAACTAGTGGCATCGATAGGTATTTCCTTGATTCTATTGAAGGCCTTCTGACAATCCTCAGTCCAACTGATTGCAACATCTTTATTTAACATCTTGAAAATTGGTTCACATATGTTTGTGGACTGGGCTATGAACCGACTGATATAATTCAGTCGTCCTATAAAGCTCATTACATCCTTCTTACTCTTTGGTGGTGGTAGCTCCTGGATGGCTTTGACTTTTGATGGATCTAGTTCTATCCCTCAGTGACTGACGATGAACCCAAGTAACTTTTCGGCAGGAGCCCCGAATGCACATTTTGCGCGATTTAGCTTCAGGTTGTATTTCCATAGTTTGTCGAAAAACTTCCTTAAAACTGCTATATGGTCGGTGGCTTTCTTGGATTTGATGATGATGTCGTCCACATACACCTTGATTTCCTTATGTATCATATGATGGAAGATAGTGGTCATAGCCCTCATGTAAGTGGCCCCGGCATTCTCTAGGCCGAATGGCATCATCTTATAACATTATACTCCCCATGGCGTAATGAAAGCCATTTTCTCAGCATCCTCCTCGTCCATCCAGATCTCATGGTAACCAGTGAAGCAATCCAAAAATGACTGGAACTCATGTTTGGCACAGTTGTCGACTAACATGTGTATGTTTGGAAGGGGGAAATCATCCTTTGGACTTGCTCGGTTGAGATCCCAGTAATCGACACAAACCCTGACCTTTCCATCCTTCTTTGGAATTGGCACGATGTTGGCTAACCATGTTGGGCATTCAACCACCCTGAGGACCTTGGCGTTGATTTGTTTGGTGACTTCCTCCTTGATTTTCACACTCATATCAGGCTTGAACTTCCGGAGCTTCTGCTTCACTGGAGGGCACATTGGATTAGTGGGCAACTTGTGAGCTACGATAGATGTACTTAGTCCGGCCATATCATCGTATGACCATGCAAATATGTCCTTATATTCCTTCAAGAATTGTGTGTACTCTTCTTTCTCTGACGGTGACAAGTGAATGCTGATGCCAGTTTCTTTGACAGTCTCTGAATCTCCCAAATTGATTACCTCGGTTTCATCCAGATTGGACTTAGGCTTGTTCTCAAAGTCCTCTACTTCTCTGACGATTTCCTAGGGTATGATGTCTTCCTCTTCTGAATCACTATCCTTTTGTTGCGTTGTCTCATTGCATGTCACAGTCATTGGTTCATCAGGACAGGAAATGGTAATATTGTATAGGTAAAAGTATGAGAGAAAATGATAATAATAAATATCGATTCATTAAAATATAAAAGCGATATTCAATAATTTAAACAGACGTTTTGAAACACTAGAAACAGAATGCAAGAAAAAGAAATCATTTTCTTAGAAAGCAAAAATAAATTGTGTTGTTCAACCTTACTACCCCGGACTCATCGGGCCCTGGATGGTATGAAAGTCCAGTTTCTGAGGAACGATCCCTTGCTCACAGCTTGGATGGTAGGGCGTTCCTCCTCCTCTGATCCCCATATGTCGTCGGCTTGCTGGAAAGTCTGTTCCAAGTGCGGTATGGGCTGCTCCAATGGATAGTAAGGACCACGCCATGGCGGCGACCTCTCGTCGTACTCTTGCCAAGTGTACTGATAGCCCAGGACAAAGGTAGTGTCATGGCGCTTTAGCTGTATCGGCTTGGAGATTCCCTGAAGATTCTTACCGAGACCCTTACCAGGTTTGTATCTGCTCCAATTCATTAATCTTACTACACTATCTATTGCATTGACCAGCTCAATGTGGTGGTAAGTTTCTCCACCAAGCCTTCTTCTACCCTCAACTACCGGGATGACCTGGAGGTTGTAGATGGGGTTGATCCCATCTCCATGGATAATTACCTGCTGATTGTTCCACTCAAACTTTACCGCCTGATGCAAAGTCCAAGCCACAGCTCCGGCAGCATTTACCCATGGTCGTCCTAATAACAGATTGTAGGATGCAGATATATCTAACACCTGGAATTCGACCTCAAACCATGTAGGCCCCATCTGCAGACAGAGACTAATCTCTCCAATAGTGGACCTATGAGACCCATCGAAAGCCTTTAAATTCATGGATCCTTCTTGTATTTCGTACAGTCCTTTGCCCAACCTCTTTAGTGTTGTCAGTGGGCAAATGTTAAGGTTGGACCCTCCATCGATCAGAACCTTGGTGATGAAGTAATCTTCGTATTGCACGGTAATGTGCGATGCCCTATTGTGACTCAAACCTTCAGGTGGTAGTTCATCCTCGTGGAAGGAAATCTTATGACTTTCTAATACCTGCCCCACCATGTTAGACATCTGTCCGCTTGTGATGTTGTTAGGCACATAAACTTCATCCAACACTGTCATCCGAGCACTCATATGTGCTTCTGAATTCTGCAGCAATGATAAGATAGATATTTGGGTCGGAGTCTTGTTTAGATGATCTATGACTGAGTATTCCCTGGCTTGAACCTTGCTCCAGAGGTCATCTGGTCCTGTCTCAATGACGGGAGGCTTGTTAGAAGCCTACTTTCTAGACTCTCCCAAGTGTTCGGGTGTGTAGACCCTTCCGGTCCTTGTCATCCCTTGTGCAGTACCAGCTTTCTCTATCTTGACCTTTTCTTTCCTTCTAGCTTCAGCCACGTAATCCTAGGGCAGATCATTAGTGTTGAAAGGCGACATGGTTGACACTGTCAGTGTAAGTGGTATCGCGGCCTTTACTTCAAACGGAATAGGTATCGTAGCAGGTGGTGCTATTTCAACCTCGAATGGTACGGGCGTGTCTCTGGGTGGTGCTACTTCAAACTCGAACGGGGCTGATGTGGTTACCTCAGCCTCTCCTGACGGCTATATCTGCACTATGATTGGATTGAGTGTAACCGCTGGCTTCTTGGGATGATCACCTTCTTTGATTAACCCGATTGACCCCTCTGGGTCCCACTCTTCATCTATTTCTATCTCATTGATGCCTCCACCCCTGTGATCTGGGAGGGGTTATTGCGAACATTAGGAGTAGCTTCCTTAGCCTGAATGACTTTGTTGTCGATCAAAGCCTGGATTTTATCCTTCAACGAGCAGCATTCATCGATGGTATGTCCTTCTATGCCGGAATGGTATGCACAGGTTTTGTTTGGATTGACCCACTGGGATGGATTCTCTGTGGCTACAACAGTGATGGGACTGACGTAACTAGCAGCTTTCAATCTTTCATACAGCTGGTCAATGGGTTCGGCAATGGCCGTATACTATTTGGGTGGCCTGCGGTCAAAGTTTGGTCGAGGCCTTGGGAAGTTTTGGCGAGCTGGAGGTGACTAAAAGTGGGTGGGACTTGTATGTGTGATAGAACGTGGCTGGTAGGGAATATCTGGGAGATGTAGGTTTATATGTAGGTGGAGGTGATGGTTGATATGTAGGTAGAGGTGATGGTTGATATGTAGGTGGAGGTGATGGTTGATATGTAGGTGGGGGTGCTTGGTATGCAAGTGGAGAGGTTCGATATGTTAGTGGAGATTTGGGTCCCTATGCAACCATTACAGCTCCTGCGTCTTTCTTCTTGGATATGCCACCGGACTGCAGTGCTTTGTTGGCGGCATGCAGTGCTCAAAATTAGTGACCATTCCGCTCTTGATACCTTCTTCATTTCTTTCCCCAAGCTTGATGGTGTCGGAGAATTTGTGATTTTCAATCACCATCGGCGTAACATAATATTGCGGGTCCTGTGCCCTGACGAAGAATTTGTTCATCTGCTCCTCATCTAATACCGGCCTGACCTTGGCCGCTTTCGACCTCCAACGAGTGGCATACTCGCGAAAGGTTTCAATGGGTTTCTTCTTGAGATTCTGGATGTAGAATACGTACGGTGCATTTTTCGTATTGAACCTGAATCGGTCCATGAAATCCGAGGCCATACTCACCCAATTAGACCACTTCTTAGGGTCCTGGCTGATGTACCAGGACAAAGCATCCCCTGAGGCTCCTCATGAACAATTTCATCCTGATATTTTTGTCTCTTCCAACTCCGACCAGTTTGTCACAATAGGTCCTTAGATGGACCTTGGGATCACCAGTACCGTTGAACATTTCGAACTTGGGAGGTTTGTAACCCTCCGGCAGTTCAACATCAGGCTGTATACAGAGATCTTCATAAGTTAATCCTTCGATCCCCTTACCTCCTTCCATGCCTTGAACTCGGCTAGTCAATTTCTTGAGTTCTTCGGCCAGGTTCTTCATGAGCATATCCTTCTCACTAGACTCCGGTGTGTTAGAGATGGGTTGGGTGGAGTGAGGTAGAGTCTCCACGTATATGGGATTATTCTAGTGGACAGGTGCTTGAGCATGAAGGTGATCGTTGGTGGAATTTTGTGGTTCAGGGATGATAGGTAGGGTGTTTCGGGGAGTGTAGCAAGTGTTTTGTTGGTATTGTAGCAGGATGGTTTGGTTTTGTGGTGGAGTTGTATAGTGGTGGGTTGCAGGAGGATTCTGTTTGTTGGGTGTGTTCTGAGGTGGTGCGGAGTTTTGAGTGTTTGGATGGCCAACGTTTGGCACGCTGAGTGAAAAGGACAAGTTCGCTAGGTTCCGAACATGTTCAAGTTCCCCTTGGAGTTTCAATAACCTTTGTTCAAGTTGCGACACGGCATCATTTTGGACCAGAGTACCCCGACCTTCGGAAGCTTCTGGATGTTCAGCTAGTGTTGAGTTTTCCTTTCTGATGTTAGTCAAGTCTTCCATTTTTGCTTTGCCTTTGCCTTTAGGTGGACTAGGAGGAGGAGAAGGTGGAGGGCCCCTGGATCTTGTATGATATGCTGATGATGCCAGAATGCACGAACCAACCCTTAGGGAAGGGGAATAATCAAAAGGAAATAAAATAAAAACAAAAAGGTAACAAGTCAATGGGGATTATGATAAAATATTTGCATTATTTAAACACATATTGCAGGAATATAAATGCGCGTCTTAATTTGGGATCCTCGTTATGCCCGAGGTAGGCCTAGCGACAAGTTGATTTGAAGAACTTAGATGCCAAATTACCTCATTTCATTAATATAAAATGGACGAATCCTAAAACGACACTAGAATAATAAAGATAATCCACT